CTCAACAAAACTTTGCATGCACCATCTAGCCCACTCTTCACACGTGCTCAACTACACAACAAGCTTTATGTTTTCATTGCATTGGCTGCGTATGCATTCACATGCATATATATAGAAGGCATCTAAGTTTTCGCATCACTCTTATACTCTACTGCTCAGAGTTCTTGTTATTTGATGTTTCTAAAGGTGCCATGTGAATTTTTCACCACTTAAAAGGATATCATCACATGAATGCATGCCATGTGAAGATTTTCAATATTATGCTTGATAATTATATCGTGCATGTTTAAATTCACATGGGAAGTCTAAAAGTCAGACATCTTCAATATTATGTTTGATAGTGATGTTCTCTTATACTTTTTTGCTAGATTTTATTGGTGGCACTAGTAATTTCTTGCTCATAAGCTTCTATTGAGAATATTTTTTGATGTTGGCCAAAAATCCAGTACAACATGGCAGGAGTAAGCACATTGATGTTCGTTATCATTTTATCAGAGATGCAGTAAAGATGGGTCAGATTAGCATGGAGCACTGCAGTACAGAGGATCAGGTTGCTGATTTGTTCACTAAAGCTTTGCCGACACCGAGATTTGTGAAGCTATTGAAGATGCTCGGGATGAAAAAAGTCTTGGTTTGAGGGGGAGATTGTTGGATATCATCAAACCAAACGATGCGATGCTTGCCTTAGTTTTATTTTGGTTTTATTTTATTTGTTTTATTAGACGGTTTTAAAAACCGTTTTTTTTTTTGTTGCTTTTGTATAAGAATCCCGTGAAGAAAGAAAACAATGTGTGGCTGCTCTTTGCTTTTGATTATCCCGTGAAAGTGTGTGAGGGTTCTCTGTGTTTTTAGTTCTTTGGGACGTCAAGTTTATTGAGAACAGAATTTTAGTTGAGTTTTAATTTCTTCTTCCATTTCTCTGTTCTTGTTTATTGCTTCTACTGTTCTGTTTTGCTTCCATCAATTTACTTGTTTCGCTGTTCTTCTAATTGCATTCACTTTATGCCTCTTTTGCTCTCCCTCATGTGTAGCAGTCTAATGCATGCACTACCAAGCCCAACACCTTTTCGTGTCGTAGTCTCGCTCACATTACGCATATTTGTAACTTGATCTCAACAAAACTTTACATGCACCTTCTAGCCCACTCTTCACACGTGCTCAACTACACAACAAGCTTTATGTTTTCATTGCATTGGCTGCGTATGCATTCACATGCATATATATAGAAGGCATCTAAGTTTTCGCATCACTCTTATACTCTACTGCTCAGAGTTCTTGTTATTTGATGTTTCTAAAGGTGCCATGTGAATTTTTCACCACTTAAAAGGATATCATCACATGAATGCATGCCATGTGAAGATTTTCAATATTATGCTTGATAATTATATCGTGCATGTTTAAATTCACATGGGAAGTCTAAAAGTCAGACATCTTCAATATTATGTTTGATAGTGATGTTCTCTTATACTTTTTTGCTAGATTTTATTGGTGGCACTAGTAATTTCTTGCTCATAAGCTTCTATTGAGAATATTTTTTGATGTCTCATCTTTACACTCTATCTCATTTCATGTTGCATTGGCTTTTCGATCTCTAGCTAGTGACTCCGTTTCACGATTATATTCTTAATTTTTAAATATTATTATATCAGTTCATTATTAATATCATTTATATATCTAATTCTCCTTTTTTTTTCTTTTAAATGGATGAATGTTATTGTTATTGAGATTTTCATTAAATTTGTTGAAACGTTATTATATTATATGGTTTAAGTTTGGTTAATTAAATAACTATTATATGAACCTAATATATGTATAATATACAACTCACGAATGCTCTGGTTAGTAAAAGTATCGTTTTGCTTTGCAAATTAAAGAAAAAAGTATTACTTGCATATATATATAATTTAAAATAATTCAGTTCTTTCTTTTCTCATACATGATTTTTTTTAAAATTATTTAATGGAAATTTATTCATTTATGCTACACTTCCTAATGCGATTGATGCAATCCCTTTGTTCGGCAAAGGATAAATGATGATTCTAGTTCAACATTAACTCTATAAATTGGTGGGGGAGCAAAATAAATCAACTCATATTAGGGGAGACTCAACTCACTTTTTCATGTATGCCCTAGTGCTCTTAATAGAAAATTATTTCTAGTAATACAAAGACACCCTAGAATCATAAACAATCTATTAAAGTTTACTACTTATAAGCTCCTCGTGAGTTAAATACCTCACACACACTTATTAATTTGCCCATTATATTTATTAACCCATATAATATAATTATAAATTCCAAATATTATCCACTCCTTCACATTTACTATGCCCTTAAGTTCGAGCCAAGTGGAAAAGCAAAAAAACTGGAAAAAATGGTAAATGTGTCAGGTTGAATGTGGAGGTGATTCTTGGTCAACAACAGGCATGTGAGTTTCCAAGTCCTAATGGAGATGTTGTTCGTGTAAACATGTCTAGATGATATCTGAGTGGACGAGTTATGACATAGTCTGAGATGAGATCTTGTGGTAGGTTTTGGCGATTGTGAGATCTAGAGTTGGAGATGATAGGATTTATATGGAGGCAAGAGGATCTAGGATGAGGCTATATGTCAGATGTCATGAGCTATGAGGTTGGATCTGAGACTAGGGTGTGTGGTTGCACGTTCTTGTGATGGATAGAGGCGGCTAAAGCGGGCCTACAACTACATTTTGTTAGTTGGTGATACGACAGAGTTTCATCATTATTATTTTTTTTATTAAGGGCGCTAAGGTGGAGGGATAGAAATGAAGAAGAGGTGAAGAGTGGGATGGCAGGAAGTGTGGCTCTAGGTGCAATGCCAAAGGGGGGATGGTGACTGAGCACTTGATGGCGGCGAGGCTCAACAATAGCAGTATTGATGTGATCTTATTGCTAATCGTGGGATAAACAACAATATCAGTTTGCTGGATTACCTTCTTTCATTCACCCAATAAAGGATTATTTATAGGAATACAACGATACTATAGTCTTCCAAAAAATCTATTAAAATCTAATACTCAACTTATAAACAAAATGACGCAAAACAATGTATTAATCTATTCATTATATTTATTACCCCAAATAATTCATTACAAACCCCTAATAGTCATCACGTGCATGTTATTCTTGTTGTTGTGTTTTGGAATATTTGCGGCGGTAGATAAATATAAAATTTAATGTCTTAGCTTTGTACGAAGATCTAGCACACAAGCAGATAAACGAGATTGTGTAGTGTTCATAAGAGATCAGAATTTTTATGTGAAAACCCCTAAAAATGGGAAAATACCATGGGGCCTGACTAAATTAGAGTGAATCAACTATTATTTGCAGTTGATTACAAATGAGACCCTTCCTTGGGGAAGCCTTGGGTTGATGTGGATAATGTACATCATATTACATGGGGTGAATTGGAAGAATTAGTATTGAAATGTTTGTTTGGTCAGCGGGACCATAGTCGGTGGGCGACGAAGGTCAGAAAGACTGTAGTCTGGCGACGAAGGTTGGAAAGACCATTGTCTGGCAATGAAGGTCAGAAGGACTGTAGTCATTTAATGAGGTCAGAAGGGCTGTAGTCGGCGGGCGACGGAGGTTGGAAGGACTGTAGTTGGCAGATGACGGAGGTCGGAAAGACCGTAGTCTAGTGACGGTGGTCGGAAGGACCATAGTCGGCGGAGGAGGTCAAAAGGACCTTAGTCGGCGGGCTACGGAGGTTGGAAGGACCGTAGTCGGTGAGCAACGGAGGTTGGAAAGACCGTAGTCTGGTGACGATGGTCAGAGGTTCGACGTTCGATAAAAATCCAATGATAGGCAGAAGTTTAGCATCTAGTAGAAGTCTGACGAAAGTCCGACGACTGGTGGAAGTTCTGTGAGGGTAGAAATCCCGCATCGGGTTGAAATCCGGCGATGGTCGGCGGCTGGGTGGAAGTCCGACGGCGCTCGGCAATTGGGGAGTGGTTCGACGACGGTTGGGCTGAAGTCCGGAGGCAATTGGTGGCTGGGTGGAAGTTTGGCGGTGGTCGACATCTGTGTGGAAGTTCGGCAGCCGACTGCTGCCTGGTGGTGTTCGACGATGGTTGTTCTGCAGTTCGCCAGTGATTGGTGGCTGGGTGGAAGTGGCGGCCATCGGCGTTCTGGTGCACATTCGACGGCGGTCATCCGCCGGGTGGTGGTCCGACGATGGTCGGGCTGAAGTTCGGCGGCAGTCAGCCACCAGGTGGTTGTCCGACGAAGGTCGGGCTGATTTTGGCGGCGGTCGGGCGAAAGTTCGAGGATAATCGACGGCCGAGCGGTGGTCTGACGACAGTCGATGGCGGTTCTTTGGCGGTGGTGCTGGAGCTCTTGAAGCCTTAGAGCTCTCTCCAATCTCTAGCCCAGAGGTCCCCTTCATGTAGAGAGTGGGGGTCTATTTATAGATTTTTATGAGTGTCACATCCTGTAAATATAGAGAAGAGCCGATGTAGGTTCGGAGTGCTCCATCGGATGGCTCGTATTGTTTCCCCCGATCATAGAGAGTTTTTCAACTGTTTAAGTGCCTTAACGATGTTGAAATTGACTGATCTTGGGCTCATTGGATTTGTCTAGCCGAGCTGCTCGATTTGATTATAAGTATGCCATATTTGGATATCATTTTGTCACAAAATAATGCTTTGATCCTTCCAAATGTGGTTCGGGCCCCCGATTTGGACCCATTTGGGTTTGGGTTGGACATGTTTTGGTTTCATTGGTTTTGTATCTTTGAGACGTTCAGTTTGACAATAAATTTGCTGAAATTGGAATTCAAATGATCCCAAATTTGATTTTGAAACTTTCCAACTTGAATACGCCTCGAGATTCGTGCTCATATCACTTGTATTGATGATGTTCGCGTTGTCTGCCGGTAGAGCTCTTCACTACCATCTATCTTACTTTCTATGGAATTGTTTTTTTAACGTACTAGTAATGCTGATGCCGAATTTTTATTTTTTTGAAAATGTGTCAATAGTTTTATTTCCAAATGCAGTAACTGCAACAAATGGCCAGATTTGCCAAAACTGTCTGGAGTTCACCACAAAAGCTATATTATTTCTTGGCAAAAATGAGACGCAAACTGAGATAATCGGCAACCTTCATCAAGCATGTTCCCACCTGCTTTCTTTTGAACCACAGGTTATTTCCTGTTGTAGACGAGCATAATTTGTTTCATGCGTGAGTTTCCTATATGATACCTTATATTTTTATATCTTAAATTTTTTTATTTTTTGGCAGTGTAATTTGTTGATGGACTATTATGCACCTCTTTTCTTTGTGGAGATTGCCAAATGGCAGCCAAAACTCCTCTGTGAAAAGGTTAACTTGTGTAAGGAGATGTCAGTTATTCATCTAAGAAAGCCTGATGATCCCTGCACACTCTGCCATAATGCTATTAATGAAGTTCTTACTAAACTGGAAGATCCTGAAACGCAGGTAAAATACCATTTCTTTGCTGAAACTTTTAAATTTGTGGGAAGGTTTCGGTTACATCATGAAATGACTAGTTAGAGTATTCAATGGAATACTACTTGTGTTATATTCAAGTGAAATTGCAAAGTGTATAGAATTGCTAGTTTTGGGCTATTATATGGTCATATTGTTTTATGTGTGTTAAACACTAGTAGTAATCAACCTGAAATTCCTAGTCCATATTTTGTAGCTTCTGATGAGGCTAAATACCTATAATAAGGGTTGGGTGTGTGTAGTTCTTTTTCATTCCAAACTTATCACTGTTGGGAAATGTGGGCTCCAAAAATTCGTGCTGACCTATCTCTCTTTTCGGATCGTCGAGGAGAGTTTTAATGAGTAAGTTCAGAGACAAATTTTCAAAAGGCATATTGAGTTTTAGATAAGACATTATCCAAAGATTTCACCCTCATTTTATGAGAACTTTATGATCTAAGTTCAGGTTTCCTATAGGTGAAAACCTTTATAGCTAATTATTCCTTCCGATAACGAGAACTTTTTATTAAGGCTAGTCATCAAACAAATACATAGTATCAAGCATATAGTAGCAACATATTTTGATATTTAAAATTGAAATTTATATCACCGCGCACTTAAAGCGGATGGTGGGGGAAATGATGATAGACCCGATCAAGATCCCACGGTTCCGTCATTTCAGGTCATCATGGTCCCTAGTCTACTTAGTCAGAGGAGGTAGTCGACCCTACCTGATCGAAGGATCCTTATCGACAGCCATGGGTTGCTTCATCCAAGGGTACCTTGTAGACTTGGGGTGAATTTTTGCCTAAGGGAGACATATTTGAGCCCACTTTAGCTAACAAAGGGCTTTGTGCCCTATCAATTATATCCTATTGATTCATTACTAAAAAATTTAGAGTCGTTGGGGAACATATAGGCTCTGGCCATGTCCGTAATAGTAGTATTATTTGGCGGCAAAACCACCAGGTCAGATGGCATCGGTCATAACAGTTTACCTGTTGTGTCATTTGACAGCGAAACAACATGTTAGATGACACATGCCACATTCTTACTGGTATAAGATGGTTTGAGAATGAATCTTAGTGATATTATCGACTAGATATTTGCTCTTCATGAGCTGAAGTGATTTTTAAATTTGTCCACATCGACAAATTATTGCGGAGGATGGATGGATATTTTGCTTTAAACGTTTAAGTGATTTATTTCATCTTAAATATCTTATTTTTTGTGATTTTTTGAGTTTTGAACTTTCATTGAAATTGGAGCTCTTTAATGATTGATTTTAAGATTTGAGGGAATTTAAAAGTATGACCCCTCTGGTTGAGATTAGATTTTAATGCGGCCATCATTAGGGTGACTTTATTATCACTATAAACGTTTATATTTTATGAGTATGGGGGTATTTTAAAAGTTTGGGGCCCCCTCCTGTTGAGGTTTTCTTTCAACACGGCCATCATCGGGGTTATTATGGGTATTCTTGCTTTATTGGTTGGACCTTGTCTACTCTTTATACTACTTGCAGATAGAGTATCGGGTCTGTCGTCAGCTTCGTGCCTTTATTAATGAATCTTTATTGTAATAAACCTTGAAGATCTAATATGAACGTATAAAACAAATACGTTGGTCGACACTACGAACGTATATTCGTTCGACGATTCAAGCTATGTCAACTCTATCTATTTCTCAATAGAGGATCAGGTTTATCTTCGGCTTCATGCTTTTGTTAGTAAATATTTCTTGTAATAAACCTTGAAGGCCTAATATGATCGTATAGAAAAAAATACTTAAATCGGCACTATGACCGTGTATTTGTTCGACGATTCAAGCCTTGTCAACTCTGTGCCTAGAGAGGATCGGTCTTGAACTGAAGTTTATTTCTTTACCCACGCAGTATCCTTAGACGTCACGTCTGCACATACATCATGCTTGTTAGGCCATGTGGGTATTCACTTTTGCATGTATTTTATATTATGCACTTGTATGGTGCCTATTTGCATGCAACACAAGGGGTATATATGACATAAATGTGTTCACATATACGCTCATATATTCATCTGCATGCTGTCAAGCTCACTTATGTACTTGTATATATATATATATATATATATATATATATATATATATGTTGACATTTTGCATTTGCATAATGCTTAATTGTGCTTTCATGATATGTTGATATGCTGTGTAATAGCTTAATGCACGAATATAGTGTATGATGTATTTGCATCTTGCACGATATGCTGATATGTAGTATAGTGGCCTACTACATTAATATATTATATAGTGTATTTGTATGATATGTATGTATAAGGAATCAATACATTGCCTGTTTTCATGCATAATACATTTGCATGACGATTCGACACTTTCATGTAGTGCATGATGTATTTACAAGTCAGCATAGCACGCTGCCACTACATGGTGTCTTTTATATGTTGGATAATATACTTGCATGATGTGTTTTGTATTTTGCAACGTGTATAAGCATGATGTAAATGCATCAGTGCACATTTCAATGCATTAGATGTTTTTACAGTATTTGAATTTGCTTATTTATGCAAGTGATCATCATTTCGAAGATACACGAGTTTCCTTAAGGGGCTCGTGAATGCTTTCTGTCCTCTTGTATGAATGTCGTAGATCCGGTGACGTTGTTTAGCTCATTTCATCTTATACATATTATTTTCTCCGAATTTAGCTCATAGGAGTATCTCTATCTGCAAATGCACTATATGATGCATCAGGAGTCCTCCACCTTTTATTTATAAATGAGCTAATATATTCGGCACGTCGACCTGGCATTAGCAGTTTCCTGTTTCTGTCTATCAACAATCTGCAATCTTTACTACAAACTCTCTTCTTTTTCTTACAGGTGAGTCGTAGCGCTGCACTTTGGATTACTCGTTGCTTCTTACAGATGGGCTGTCGTGCCATGCAAGTTTTGTTGAATTGGTTTGTAGGTAGTGCGTCGTCAGCGGATATTCAAAAGTTGCTCGCTATTGCATGCATTCATCACTAATTTGTGGACAGTGTTACCTATGAGCAAGCTGCATTGAATGCAGATCTTCTAATGCTACCCATAGGTATTTGCATATACTACAATTTTTCTATATTTGTTTGTAGATGACGAGTCTTCTACAACGGCTAATAGGAGCTCATTTGTATTATAAGGCTTAAAGGTAGTGTGTCACATGCATTGCAGTTCTCTTAACTTATTTGCAGGGAAAGAGTTACATTCATAGTTTATCCATTGTCATTACTTGTAGACGAACTAGTGTATCTATTTGCAAGCCGACTAATGTTAAACAAGCTGGCTGATGTTAAACATAAGAATACTACTACATTCATAGCTCATTCATTGTCATCATTGCTTGAGAGTGTTTACATGCATTACAAGTTTGTTGTCTCTATTTGCAAAAAATGGGCTTTGCCCATTATAATTTCATTATTCATGTTTGCTAGGAATCCGTTAGGTTCATCGTATGTTGACCCTCATTATTTGATGTGTTTGCTTCCCAATTGACTTTGTAGAGGGTATTATTATTTGTAGGCGGATTTAGTGTGTTCACTTGCATGTCAATATTGACTATAATTGAATTGCATTCTCATCACTAATTTCTTCTTGCATGTTTGCTATCAAGTTGTTGCGTGCATCCGATGTTTTGTTCATGAACGTGCTATTGCATTCGTCGCTGTCTTCTTGAGTGTGTCGGTAAGGAGACTTCCAATGTTATTGTTTGCGAGCAAATGTGTATATTTACCTGCAAAACTAGTGCTGATTGCCGAGTGAGCTGCATTCACCACCAATTTCTCTATTCATGATGGTTGGTAAGTTGCTGCATTCTCTCTCATGTCTTTCCGTTTTAGTAGGGATTGTTGCATGTATCTGCAAGCTAGCTGACATCGGCCGTAGGAAGACTATTATATTCACAATTTATCCACTGTCGTCGCTCACAAGCGGACTTGTGCACTTGTCTGTTATCTAACTGCTCTTGATTGTGACAGGTTATTTCCATGATAACCTTTTCCTTTGCTCATGGATGTGTTGCATTCCTTATATATGATCATTGGTGAATTGTTATGTTCATCACAGGTCTATTACTTCCATTTATAAATGATTGTTGGTATTGCAAATTCTTTATTATCCTTGAAGGTGCTTTGTAGCATGCATAATGAACTTAGTAATGTTTCTTGTTGATATTTTCTTGCAAGGGATTACTATATTTGCTTTTATGGCTAATGTAAATATTACACTTCAACTGTTATCATTCGTAGGCGATTTATAGTATTGTTTAAGGACTTTGCATATCTGTTTGCAACCAAATTATACATTCCCTTCAATTTCATTGCTTGCGAGTGAGTCACGTTGAAAACCACATGTCCTTTGCTTGCTTATTCATGTTTGGTTTTCATGTTCTTTTGTAAATTACAATTTTATTTCAGGTTTTCATACAAGTCTAGTTCCCTATAGTCCTGTTGAAATCAACTCCCCTAATTGCTGGAAAGTTTGGTTCTTTGTTAGTTCATTCAAGTTTGGATTTCGTTGCATCATTTATTGTGCATATTAGTTTTTTTTAAATTTCTAAGTTCAATCATTATTCAGACTAAATTTCAGCAGTCTCCTGACATCTCCCTCCTTAAGTGAATTTTTGAGAGTCTTAGCAAAACTTCAACAAAGACGTGCATGGTCAGTGTCAGGCGACACCTCGACCGTGGTCTTCAATCCCACCAAGCCAAGAAAGACGTGCATGGATATTTAGGGGTACCTATGTGAAAATTTGCAATTTTTCCCTGCAGGCATAGAATCTCGTACGCGAGTATTTAGGTTTTACCTCGTCATTATAAGAAAAGTTTGCACAAGGCTCATCCTTCTTGCCACAAGCATCACATTGGGTTCCCTTCCACCATGCTAAGAAAATGTTGTATAGGTGGTCCCTTGGCGCGCTACAAGCGCCGAAAATAGGATTTGGAGAATTTTAAGTTTTAGC